TGGGGTGGGTCTATGGGGTGGGTCTATGGGGAGGGTCTATGGGGTGGATCTATGGGGTGGGTCTATGGGGAGGGTCTATGGGGAGGATCTATGGGTCTATGGGGAGGGTCTATGGGGAGGGTCTATGGGGTGGATCTATGGGGAGGGTCTATGGGGTGGATCTATGGGGTGGATCTATGGGGTGGGTCTATGGGGTGGGTCTGTGGGGTGGGTCTGTGGGGTGGATCTATGGGGAGGGTCTGTGGGGTGGATCTATGGGGAGGGTCTATGGGGTGGGTCTGTGGGGAGCGTCTGTGGAGTGGATCTATGGGGAGGGTCTGTGGGGCGGATCTATGGGGCGGGTCTATAGGGGGCGGATCTATAGGGCAGGTCCATGGGGCAGATCTATAGGGCGGGTCTATAGGGGGCGGATCTATGGGGCGGATCTATAGGGCGGATCTATAGGGGGCGGATCTATGGGGCGGATCTATAGGGCGGATCTATGGGGCGGGTCTATGGGGTGGATCTATGGGGAGGGTCTATGGGGTGGATCTATGGGGCGGATCTATGGGGCGGATCTATAGGGGGCGGATCTATATGGGGCGGATCTATGGGGCGGGTCAATGGGGCGGATCTATAGGGGGCGGATCTATAGGGCGGATCTATGGGGCGGATCTATGGGGCGGATCTATAGGGCGGATCTATGGGGCGGATCTATGGGGCGGGTCTATAGGGGGCGGATCTATAGGGCAGGTCCATGGGGCAGATCTATAGGGCGGGTCTATGTGGGGCGGTCTATGGGGCGGATCTATAGGGCGGATCTATAGGGGGCGGATCTATGGGGCGGATCTATAGGGGGCGGATCTATAGGGCGGATCTATAGGGCGGATCTATGGGGCGGGTCTATGGGGCAGGTCTATGGGGCGGGTCTATGGGGCGGGTCTATGGGGCAGGTCTATGGGGCGGGTCTATGGGGGGCGGTCTATGGGGCGGGTCTATAGGGGGCGGATCTATGGGGCGGGTCTATGGGGCGGATCTATGGGGCGGGTCTATAGGGCAGGTCCATGGGGTGGATCTATGGGGCAGATCTATGGGGCGGATCTATAGGGGGCGGATCTATAGGGGGCGGATCTATGGGGCAGATCTATGGGGCGGGTCAATGGGCCGGATCTATAGGGGGCGGATCTATGGGGCGGATCTATGGGGCGGATCTATGGGGCGGGTCAATGGGGCGGATCTATGGGGCGGATCTATGGGGCGGGTCAATGGGGCGGATATATGGGGCGGATCTATGGGGCAGATCTATGGGGCGGATCTATGGGGCGGATCTATGGGGCAGATCTATGGGGCAGGTCAATGGGGCCGCGACACTCGGGACTTTCCAGCGTCCGTTTATTGGGGGTTCCGGTGACGTCAGAGCCCCAAAACCCCGCGGTTTCACCCCAAAAGAGGCCCCATAAATACATAAATAGCGCAATAAATAACGGCCCCTCCCCCCCCCCGAGAACCCTGCCCCCACACCTCCATTGATCTCCATTGATCCCTATTGGTTCCTATTGATCCCTATTGGTTCCTATTGATCCCTATTGGTTCCTATTGATCTCCATTGATCCCTATTGGTCCCTATTGATCCCTATTGGTCCCTATTGGTCCCTATTGATCTCCATTGATCCCTATTGGTTCCTATTGATCCTTATTGGTTCCTATTGATCCCTATTGGTCCCTATTGATCCTTATTGGTTCCTATTGGTCCCTATTGGTCCCTATTGATCCCTATTGGTCACTATTGGTCCCTATTGATCCCTATTGGTACCTATTGATCCCTATTGGTCCCTATTGATCTCCATTGATCCCTATTGGTCCCTATTGGTCCCTATTGATCCCTATTGATCCCTATTGGTCCCTATTGGTACCAATTGATCCCTATTGGTCCCTATTGCTCTCCATTGACCCCTATTGACCCCTATTGATCTGCATCACTCTCCATTGACCCCTATTGATCCCCATTGCTCTCCATTGACCCCTATTGATCCCTATTGCTCTCCATTGACCCCTATTGACCCCTATCGCTCTCCATTGACCCCTATTGATCCCTATCGCTCTCCGTTGACCCCATTGATCTGTATCGCTCTCCATTGACCCCTATTGACCCCTATTGCTCTCCATTGACCCCTATTGACCCCTATCGCTCTCCATTGACCCCTATTGATCCCTATTGCTCTCCATTGACCCCATTGATCCGTATCGCTCTCCATTGACCCCATTGATCCGTATCGCTCTCCATTGACCCCATTGATCCGCCTCGCTCTCCATTGACCCCTATTGACCCCTATTTATCTGTATTGCTCTCCATTGACCCCTATTGACCCCTATTGCTCACCATTGACCCCTATTGCTCTCCATTGACCCCTATTGATCCCTATTGCTCTCCATTGACCCCATTGATCCCTATCGCTCTCCATTGACCCCTATTGATCCCTATTGCTCCCCATTGACCCCTATTGATCCCTATTGCTCTCCATTGACCCCTATTGACCCCTATTGATCCGCATCGCTCTCTATTGACCCCTATTGACCCCTATTGCTCCCCATCCCTCCCTATCACTCTCCATTGACCCCTATTGCTCCCCATTGCTCCCTATTGCTCTCCATTGACCACTATTGATACGTATCGCTCTCCATTGACCCCTATTGATCCCTATTGCTCTCCATTGACCCCATTGATCCGCCTCGCTCTCCATTGACCCCTATTGATCCCTATTGCTCTCCATTGACCCCTATTGCTCCCTATTGCTCTCCATTGACCCCTATTGATCCCTATTGCTCACCATTGACCCCTATTGCTCCCTATCGCTCTCCATTGACCCCTATTGCTCCCTATCGCTCTCCATTGACCCCATTGATCTGTATCGCTCTCCATTGACCCCTATTGATCCGTATCGCTCTCCATTGACCCCTATTGCTCCCCATTGCTCCCTATTGCTCTCCATTGACCCCTATTGATCCCTATTGCTCACCATTGAACCCTATTGCTCTCCATTGACCCCTATTGATCCCTATTGCTCTCCATTGACCCCATTGATCCCTATCGCTCTCCATTGACCCCATTGATCCGTATTGCTCTCCATTGACCCCATTGATCCCTATCGCTCTCCATTGACCCCATTGATCCGCCTCGCTCTCCATTGACCCCATTGATCCGTATCACTCTCCATTGACCCCTATTGATCCCTATCGCTCTTCATTGACCCCTATTGATCCCTATCACTCTCCATTGACCCCTACTGATCCCTATCGCTCTCCATTGACCCCTATTGATCCCTATTGCTCTCCATTGACCCCCATTGATCCCTATTGCTCTCCATTGACCCCTATTGACCCCTATCGCTCTCCATTGACCCCTATTGATCCGTACCGCTCTCCATTGACCCCTATTGCTCCCCATTGCTCCCTATTGCTCTCCATTGACCCCTATTGATCCCTATTGATCCCCATTGCTCTCCATTGACCCCTATTGATCCCTATTGCTCACCATTGACCCCTATTGCTCTCCATTGACCCCTATTGACCCCTATTGCTCTCCATTGACGCCATTGATCCGCCTCGCTCTCCATTGACCCCTATTGACCCCTATTGATCTGTATTGCTCTCCATTGACCCCTATTGACCCCTATTGCTCTCCATTGACCCCTATTGACCCCTATTGATCTGTATCGCTCTCCATTGAGCCCTATTGATCCCTATTGATCCGTATCGCTCTCCATTGACCCCTATTGCTCCCCATTGCTCCCTATTGCTCTCCATTGACCCCTATTGATCCCTATTGATCCCCATTGCTCTCCATTGACCCCTATTGATCCGTATTGCTCTCCATTGACCCCTATTGACCCCTATTGCTCTCCATTGACCCCTATTGATCCATATCACTGTCTTGACCCCTATTGCTCCCCATTGATCCCTATTGCTCTCCATTGACCCCTATTGATCTGCATCGCTATTGACCCCTATTGCTCCCCATTGCTCCCTATTGCTCTCCATTGACCCCTATTGACCCCATTAATCCGCATCGCTCTCCATTGACCCCTATTGCTCCTTATCTCCCCCCATTGCCCTTATCCCTCCACTCCCCCCCCCCTCAATCCACCCCCACCACCCCAAAATAAGCCCTCCCCTCCCCGTGCAGGTCCAGGAACCTCGCGGCCGTGGTGGTGGCGGCCAACTGGTCCCCTCTGCGCAGCTGGAACACGGCGCCCTGGTACAGGGACTCGACCCACAGCCCGTCGCCACGGCAACAGCGGGGATGCTGCAGCCTCCGGTCGCCACGGCAACAGCGGGGATGCTGCAGCCTCCGGTCGCCACGGCAACAGCGGGGATGCTGCAGCCTCCGGTCGCCGCGGCAACAGCGGGGATGCTGCAGCCTCCGGTCGCCACGGCAACAGCGGGGATGCTGCAGCCTCCGGTCGCCGCGGCAACGGCGACGGCGGCATCGGGCGCACACGGAGCGCACGGCCGTGAGCAGGGGCACGTCCCGGGGGTACTCTTGGGAATAACGGGATACGGCCAAGCGGAGCAAGGGGGGGGGAGGGGGGGAGGGGGGGGAGGGGCAGCCCGGCCCCCCCTCCCCCTCTTTGTTGTTGTCGTCATCATCGTCCCATCCCCCATGGAAGGCGGCAGCGGCGTAGACGAAGTAGAGGCCGTCGCGAGGGACCACGAGGCGGTTGCCATGGAGACGGACCCCGTTGCGCATCTGAGCGGGGGCCACGTCGGCCGCCCATTGGAGGGAGGGGGAGGAGGAGGAGGCTGCGGGGGGGGGGAGGGGAGGGGGGGGAGGGGATGGGGTGATCCGGATCCATGGCCCGTGGAGCTGAGAGAGCCACATCCATGTCCCATAATGACCCATATCCATATCCCATATAACCATATCCCATAATACCCCATATCCCATATAACCATATCCCATATCCATATCCCATAATAACCCATATCCCATATCCATATCCCATATCCCATAATACCTGATATCCCATATCCATATCCCATATCCATATCCCATATATCCGTATTCCATACATCCATATCCTATATATTCATATTCCATACATCCATATCCCATAATAACCCATATCCCATATCCATATCCGATATCTATATCCCATAGATCCATATCTCATATATCTATATCCCATAATACCCCATATCCCATAATATCCCATATCCATATCCCATATCCATATCCCATATATCCATATCCCATATCCATATCCCATATATCAATATCCCATATATCCATATTTCGTACATCCATATCCCATATCCATATTCCATACATCCATATCCCATAATACCCCATATCCC